AATTTTAAATTAAATAAGTTTCCGAATTCTTCGAAATTAAAAAAAACTCAAAAGTGATGTCATTGACTTTTTAAACTCCAAATCATCCATCCAATTTATAGTACAAGTATAATATAGCATAAATGATTGAACTTTGATATAATTCAGTTGAATTCCAAAGTTAAATATATAAGTTTTACATTTTTTTAAAATTTATTCAAATAATTATTATAGTAATAAAAATAAAATGTTACATAAATCAAGACATTGGTAATTAAAGTTTAGGTACACAAACTATCGACAAATAATACAAAAATGTATTGTATATAAAAATATTTCAATGATTTTTAAAATTTTATTTTTTAATTATGTATATTTTGGTCTTAACTTTTTTAGATAAAATTATATTTATTACATGAAATAAAAATTTTTATTTTTCATTTGAAAAAAAGAATTAAAAATTTTCACTCTAACACAGAACAAAAAAAACGAAAGTCATTTATTATTAATAGAAATGTATACTTAAACCATGATAAAGTATGTATTTTCGTTACTTGTAAGTTTTCACCATTATGATCTTCTGTATGAGTTCAGTAATTCGCCACTGTCTTCAGGAAAGTGTTGTATTTTAGCGAGTGATTGTTATAATGATACGCATAAAAAATATTTGGAACTACTCCCTAGAACTGGTATCTTTCGAAAGTATTAACTGTACATAAAAACGAGTGCTATCAAAATATTTCCCTCATAAAAAATAAACTCGAATTATGCTTTTACGCTTACTTAATAGTTGGCATACTGTACAATTTACATAAAAAGGCAAACATTTTAAAAACTTAGAAGGTGGTAAGTTTTTCTCATAAATTATTCTGGTAATTTTTAAATTATACCTTCATTTTTTAGAATGGTTTTTAATTTATTTAAAAAGTTTTATAACAGTCTATTTCATATGAGTACATTTATTGCGGTCAAAACGTGTTATCTATTTTATCAAGTGCTAGCAATAACTATTTACAGCAATACGACGAGAAACTTTTTAGTTTTGTGTGTTATCGTATAAACATTTTCTAAACAATATAAAGATTTATCATTTATGAAAATGAAGCCATTACAAAATATGTATGATAAGGTTTTGCTTCTTTTGTCACAATTTGTTGATCACTGTAAAGATGTCAACAGTAAACATACAGAATAAAATATTGCATTCGTTTCACAAT